TGATTGGTTTTATTAAAAAAAGAATAAACTAATTTGATATTAAATATAAAAAGCAAAGAGTAATTATCGCAACACGGATACTATTAAACTTATTTGCCATGTTAAAATTTATACCACACTAGAATATCGTGACATTTCGGACATAAATGAGCATTTACAAACTTTGTAAGATCAATCAAAATTCGTTCGTGAACTTTGAACGTGGAATTGTCAAGTTTAAACACGATGTTAATAAAAAATGTTTGTCAGGTTCTAATCTAAATATATTATTTCCAAAATTTGGTTTACTAACTAATAAGAACATTAAATAAATCGTTACAACGCATTTATGAAATGAATTTTTTTTTACAAAAACTAAGCTTCATTTAAATAACATATACTAATGCGGGAAATATCTTTCTAAACAATAATATCGATATGTATTTAAACAATAGGTTTTTATAGAAAATCCATTTTATAAATCTGTTTTATGTTTTAAATACATGCAATATCTCATTAATTAAGAAATATTTAGAATAGAACCTAACAAACTTTTTCTTATTATTAACATTTATCATGTTTAAACTTGACATTTGGTTAATTTCACGTTCAAAGTTCACGAACATACTTTTGGAAAATTTTATTGATCTTTCGAGCTTGTAAAATAGTCATTTATGTCCGAAATGTCACGATATTCTAGTGTGATATGAATTTTAATATAATAATATGCAATTTAAAGTTATTTCGCTTACTATATGAAACTTCGTTCTATTGCTCTTAAACATTTAAACCTTAGTTTATTCTTTTTTTAATAAAACCAATCATCTTTCTGCAAAATGAATGAAACAAGATTTACATACAGTGTAATTTCTTCAAAATTTTATTAGTAAGCTTGAGGTTTAAATTTTCTACAAAGAGGGGTACTTTTGATATATCAAAATCTGTTTATTTTATAGATAACGACTATAGTTGATGAAAATAAAAACGTGAATTATGTTCATAATTGCAAAAAAAACTTTGATACGTCAAAATACAAAACCATACTTAATTTATATATAGTAAAATACAGCTAATAAGCTGAATTTATATTATATTAAGTCAAACCACACTTACTAAAGTAAGTAGTTCAGTGGTAATGTTATAATTGAAGTATTATTATTATTATGCTACTTTTATTACTTTGGATTTGATAAATTTTGTTTGGTTTGAAAGAAATTACTTTGCTTAAACAAGCTTCATATCTATCTGTATTTATATGTAAGCTCTTCTTCCAGTGAAGTCAAATTGCTTTTTGAAATATTCTATGTGTTGATTTAATTTGGATCTAAAATAACCTTTCATTTTTGAGATTTGCTATAATGATAAATATAATTTAATTATATTTTTGATATTTAACAAAAAGCAATTTTTTAACAAAACTCACCACTTGATATGTAATTATTTTGTACCAATATAATTTTACATCTAATATTTTTGCTCCATATATTTGTCAATTAGCAACTTGCTTTGCAAATTTTAAAGTTTTAATAATATTATTTTGTATATTATTTATACTATAAGTAAACTATTAAGTTATAATATTTAAGATAACTATTGACAAAAAACTCGATATAATTTAAAATCTTGAAAATAATTTATAATATAAAAATATATCAAAAGTAACTTTATTATAATTAAAGAATTTTAAATATTAATGACAATTAATAAGTTGCATAAACTTTGTAAAAAAAAATAATTAAATATATAGATTTAAAAATAAAAAATATTATTGTGTTATAATTATTAAAGAATATAATTTAATTATTAAACAATAATTTTTTTAATATGTAAAGTTAAAATTTAAACTAATAATTTTTATTTGCTACTTGTTTTTAAACTAAATACTATATAACTTTAGAATTTATTATTTGTTTTAGTTATAAACTAAGCTATTTTAAATATAATTTAAACTAAATATTATATAACTTTAGAATTTATTATTTGTTCTAAGTATAATTCTGAAAAAAATTGCTTTAATTTGAATTTAGCTCAAATTAAACTTGAATTTGTTTAAAATATAACTCTAAGATTCAAATTTAATCAAAAATATCATTTAAGTTTAGTTCAAGTTTGATTCATAAAGATACTAGCTTTGAATATATTATTAGAAGCTCATTTTCTAATTATAAAATTAACTTACAAATTTAAATAAAAAACAGATAATAATAACACAGTCACTTGGAAAGCAATAGCCAGCGGTTTTTTATTATAATTTTTTTACACAATAATTTAATTTAAAATTTTATTTTATAATATATATAAGACTTTATATCCTAGAAATATTAATATTAATGTAATAATTTATTTATTAAAAATATAAATATTTTAAATAACTAATATTTATGCTGATTTTTTTGAATTAACTAGATATAGATCGGGGAAACAATTTTTTAATGAGCAAAAACCGATTTAATAATGTAGTTTTCGAATTATTGAGCTTTTTTTAGTGGCGATCCCTAACCGAACCGTTTGTAAAAAACCTTTAATATCTTAAAAACTTTATAATAAACTGGTTTTAGAGCATTATAAATAAGTGTTCAACCGATCGATTTACAGTTACCATAAAAATTTCAGGATATAGACATTTTCTGTGATTTTTAATGTTAATTTAAACGTCAATCGGCCATTATTTTCCGGGGGAACTGTAATAATAATAATATCCAAGTTCTAAAATAAGTTATAGTAATTATTAAATTTATATTTATAATATTTATTAATTAAATAATATTAATAGTCAGTAAAGTTTATTTAAACTAAGATATTAGTATTTTAATTCATTTATTTAAACTATGTTATTAGTATTTTAATTCATTTATTAAGTTAATAATTAATTATAAAATTATATTATTATTTTTGTAATTTATTAGAAAATTCTCAATATTAGATTTATTTGTTTGTTAAAAAGCCAGCAGAAAATATTATAATTAGTTATGAGTACAAAAGTTGTTTCTATAGGATTAATAGCAGAATTATTGATTTGCTTTTCAATTATATTATATTTTGTTTAAGAAAAATACTAGTATATAATTTTTTTATCAGTTTCCTCAATGACAAAATAAAATTCTTCTGTTTGCAACCTATCGAATTTTTTTTGGTGACTTCTCGTAGCAAACTCCAGGAGCCACTAGTCTGTGACATTTGATGTTCAATCGAAGCACGTTGAAATTTGAAATTTACAACTGTAACGAATATAAGGGAAAAATGGTTTAACTTACTACTAGAATCCGACAGCAGGTATTGGACAAAAAGTGGCGATATTTAGTTCTGTAAGTAATATTCCGCTAAGAGGTGTGGTGCGATCAACGTAGGAGAAAAACTCGAGGTTACTCCGTTCAATGTTTCGAAGTTCACTGAATTCTTCTTTGAGAATAGGCTAAGTCTGGAATTCGAGATGTAGTACTTTTCAACTTTATGCACTCGCTTTCCCTTCAAGAAGCACCCATGTCGTTATGATGGTACTCAGACACTCTGTAAACTCGTTTTAGACATTTTCTGCAGCTGCGGATAATATTAAAAATTGGGTTAGTTAATAACCAAAATACATGTACAGTCAACTCTCGATATAGTGAAGGACTAATTAAACTCTCGATATAGTAAAGTTGAGCTCAAAAAGAGTATATATTAAATCCTCTCGATATAGTGAATTTCTGAAAATTTTTCACTAATAGTACGAACACCTTCACTATAATGAGGTTTAAGGATAAAGGATCAATCGTCTAATTACATGTAGATGTACTTCTATGGCGATCTTCCTCACATGATGCATGCACGAACATGCATTTCGTTATACATGTAAAAGGACTCTCGTTATGGTAAACTCTTGTTATAATAAAGTTCAGTCCAAAACAGTCTATAATAAATTTTCGTTATAATAAATTCACTAATAAACTCACGATATAGTAAATTTTTGAAAAATTCTTACTAATAGTCCGGATGCCTTTACTATAACAATCCATTATCCATATTCGTGCTCTATTTCACACATCGGAGTCTGAATCTATTGTATTGTATTAGAAAAAAGCAACTTTTTTACACTTAGTAATTGTTCATTTATCTCATTTATAAACTTCCAATGTAATTTGCTTTGAGTTATGTAATGATTTTAACGCGACTACTTTTCACGTACAGTAATTTATTTATTCCACCCGTTGTACAAGTGCAACGATGCTTTATAAATTTTTCCAAAAACCTCCTTTTGCAAGATATTCAACATTTATAATCTTTCATAAAGGATCCATTCAAAAGGAGCTCCAAATAATTTAATTTTCACGCATATGTTAATTAGACTGTCGATATATTTAATTTCGCTAGACTATTCAACTTTGTAAACTCGTCTGTGATATTCATGACACTCATCGCAGTTTTGATTATACTTACAACGAGTGCATTTACTAGAATTATGTGTATTGTGAACTGAACACGAATATTCGAATTTTTATATTCCATCTTTGAGTCCATGGTTTAGTAATTATGTGCCCGTATTTTATTTAAAACTTTGAAAATAAACGAGATACATGTAATTTAAACATGCGGAAGTTACCTTAATAGAATTTCCCTTTGTGTACTATGCAACCAACAACATGCATATGCATTAGTACATAAAATTTTTATAATGTGAATTTTTTCTATAACGATAAGATTTTGTACATTTGAAACCGAATACGTACTTTGCATTTTAGTAATACAACTTTTTAGGATATCCTAAAGAAACTAAAGAGTATTTAAAATAGAATGGCAGAAATATAAGGAAAAAGAAAACATAAGCAAAGAGCAAAATCCAGTTTACACTAGTAGAATCTTTAATACAAAATTAATTTCAATTCCAAATGACAAATTTACTTTTATTTTTAGATATGACATTTCATATTTTTTATTTTTTATTTTTAAATATTAAGTGTCAGTTAATATACTTCAAATGATTTACCATCCGAAATCAAAGAGAATGAAGAGATACCAAGTGGTTACAAGAAAAACTACAAATTCGTGCTACACATCCAATAAAATAAGAATATAACTAATGAAGTATGATGCTTTATTAAAAGTAATAAAATTAACATTATTTTATTATTAAAGTTTAAAATTATTAAAGATTTAACAATAATAACTGAATTGCCACATTTACATTTAATATGAACTAAAATAGCAATACAGTCAGTATAAAGTAAATTTGGAAATAATTATAATCAGTTAATTTTGTATCTATTACTATCGATTCAAATACATAATGAAATACAGAAGTAAGGAATTTTAATAGTTTCAAGTTAAATATTACTTTAAATAAATAAACTTAAAATATATTCAGTACATTAATATAAAAATATTTTTAAACTAAAAATTATACAGTTGCACCTCCATACAATCACACAATTAAACCCGAAAAGAGAGACTTATACTGTCTGAATGTTAAATTTCCTATGTTCCATAGTAGGTAATGCTAGGAAAAGTTGATTGAGGAAAGGGTGGTGTTACTGACGAATGTGTTTAAAATTTTCATATAATATATTCAATATTTCGCTTTAGATTACCATTTTTAGCCAAGTTTTATACCATTTTAGAGCTTTATTAACATTTTTAGAAGTAACAGTTCCTGTTTCATGACTTTACCAAGCTTACATTGTTCCGCTCTGTTTTCAGCCTTTGCTGATTTAAATACCAATTGAATGCTTTATTCTTATTTTTTGTGTTTCTATAACGTCTCTATAACACGAACAAAATAAATTTGCCCAATAAATTTCTGCTCACTGCGAATTTCAAATACCACTCGAATGTTTGTTCTTGTCTTTTAAACTCCTAAATCTATTTGATAATAATGTAATAATCAGAATAGACTGAACTGGTTAAACAAAATAAATACTAATATTAATATAAGAAAGAGAATAATGATTTTCAAATGGGAAAATCAAAGGAAAAATTGATATCAAATTCATTTATGAACAAAAATTAAAACTAAAACATCCAGCTTCTCCACTGAAAAATTCTCTGATAATGATTATAAAGTTAAGGAATAATAATTAGAAAGTCAAAATCTTTTATGCTGGAACTTTGATGAATCAAAAATTGAGGAAAAGACAGAAAAAATCAAATTTAAAGAAATCTTTTATCATATAATTAATGAAATCTATAAAATTAAAAATGTAAAAATCAGTAAACAAGAAATCAAAATACAAAAAATTAGTTACATAAAGTGAATATACCCAAATACAAAACAAGTTTAATTAAATTAATCCTCTCTCATATTGAGATTTTAATTAGAAGGAATCTGTCATTGAATATTGATGCTAATAATAATTATTAAACTTTAATAACAAATATTATTACTATTATAAGAAGCTTACTCTCTGAATAAATATCAAATTTAATCTTTTAGATAATTTTTTTATATTTTGCTCATTAAATCTATAAAAAATGATAAATAGATTCTAATAAAGTTAACAAATAAAGAAAATTATTATATCAATATAGTAATTAATTATTTAATCAAATGATTCAAAACAAAGATAATTTTTAAATAAAAAAGTATCAATTATAATTATATTATCTTCAAAAAAATAATCTGCTATTATAAATATTTTAGAAAACTATAATCAAATCAAGAATCAGAATTTATAACAATAATAATTAATAAACTTACTATAAAATTTGATATTAAATATAAATTTTTCTTATTATATTATCTGTAAATTAATAGAATTATCAAGTAATTTAACAGAATACTCTGTACAATTCTACAAAAATATTATATAGTATTAAAAATAATATGGAATATATATCTATTAGTAATTCTAATTTGTTTATTATATATACAAAAACATGTTCATCCAATATGAATTCTTCTTTCTGATATATAATTGTGAAGTTAAAATACTAATAGAAATCTAAATTTAACTTTAAAAGAAATTAATATTAATATTAATCAATAAATATTGAATTACATTTTTTTTATATTTATTAACTTCCAATAACAATAGAAATAATTAGAAAATGAACTAACAAACTCAAAAAAGCTTTAAGAAATGTCATAATTAATGAATAAAGATAATATTATTCGAAATTGATAATAAAGTACTAATTTATAATATGAAATAATATATATTATATAATGACAGTTTAAATCTCAATAAAATCTCAAGTAATATTATATTTACAAAATATATAGAAATAATACTTACAAATTATACAATCAATAGAGTTTATTGCTAAAAAATTCTTTAATAGAACACAATTAAAAAAATATTATGAATGAGATCATTAAAATAATGAATTCTTTAGAAAAAATTAATAATAATTTAACTACAAGTTGGCTCGATTTATTATACAAAAAAGAGAAATTGATTATTTTAACATAATTATACTAATTATAAAATTCAACAAATAACTATATATAGTCAGAAATATATATATACTAGTATTTTTAGAATAAATATATAATACAAAAATGGATATTTACAATCAAACAAGAAAATGCAAACCTTCAGAAGGCAGCTGTAAGGGATGAGCATAAGTTATTATTTGTCTTGATATGTCATTATGAGATTACTTTGGTTCAGCTCCCGCTAACATCATTGACGAAGTAGTAACAAGAGATAAAGTCATCAGACAAAATATACAATACTAGAAGAATCAAAACTGAAGAACAAAAAGCACTCAAGTCTATATCTTTGTTTTCCGTAACAAGGAACTCCAGCATATATCCTCACAAAAAATGCTTTGTTATACTTGTACCATTTATGCGTAAACCTTTTCTAATTCTACTTGGAATCGTTTTTATGTTTTCTATCTTCGATGAACACCTATTCACATCCTATGAGCTGAATAAAGCCAAAGGTGATTTGTAGTTTTTCCATTTCAACAAACGAAACACACGAAGTCACGGCTAACTGTACTGTAAGTTCAACTACTCTCGCCAAACTAGTGAATGGATGTTTGTCTGGATCTATGAAACACCGTATACTGTATTATCAATCACATGTAATGATACATTAGAATTAAGAACGTAAAAAATTGGTTTTATGTTAAGAGTAAGGTACACCTGCCTATTCCTGTGGAATTTAAATTTTTACTATTAATTTATAATCAATATTGTATTCGTTTATATAATATTAAAAAATAATGACATTATCAAAATATTTATAAAAATTTGAACACAGTTTTATTTTTGTGGATAATTAATTAGCTGCAGGCTTCAATTATACTTGTATATTTTTGTTTATATATTTCTTAGATTTTTTATTTTTTTTATTATATTGTTGCTTATTAATACCAATTTTGTGTTAGTTTTCCTGATATTAGTAAAAATTTGTGTTATATTTGAAAGTAAAAGAATAAAGAAACTAACAGTTATTTCTGTTACAAATTATTAATAAAAGAACATTTATCTAACATATTATCCCCGACATTTTATAACAAACATCATAATAAAATATTGAGATAATAATGAATTTTGTATTTATTAAAATGCTTAATTAACTAGTATCGAAAAAATATATGTA